GGAAAAATGAACAGACCATTGAGAAACCAAGAAAAACACCAGGAGAAGTGGAAATAATTCAGGTTTATTAGGCTAGCCACAAAGTCTGAGCCCTGAGTACAGGGCTTACAGAGTATTTGTAAGCAGGTTTAGGTCTGGAGAGGGATGTACATGGGGGTCAAGTTTCCCAGAATAACTTGTTTTGCAAAGGGAAGATAAAGGTTTAGGAGTAAAACACAGAAATTTTGGTTGCTGTGTGTTTCAGTCTTCCCCCCAAAGTTACAATTTCAGAAAATTGCAGATATGTGACAGTTTCTCAGAAATTATAGGGTATGCAGGAAATGATGCAGAAAGCAAGCATGATTATAGAAGCTAAAGTTCAATCTTGTTCTGGTCAAGCTGGTTTTTAACAGTGGCTGGTTTTCCTTATCGCTGGGATATACCCTGTGAAGTGGGGAGGAGGGTCCTGGCTTATTTCAGGTTTCTGTGCCTACTCTCAGCCAAGCCAAGCTCCTTGACAGATCTGCACCTGTAGCTCTGCCACTCACGGTGATGGTGCATAGTTATGGGACAATTCTAATTGAGTTCTTGTTGCTTTGGCATGCTGAGTGTGGGCTCTGAAATAAAGAACTAAGGTCTCTCTGAACTTCTCCTCTCCAGTCTCTTACCCCTCTTTCTGCTCTGAGGCATAGGGAAAGGCTCTTTAGAATTCTTTTAACGATAGACCATCCAACAAGGAACTTAGTTGTCCTGTATCGCTCCCTTCCGCCAGCAATCTTGTCAACCAGGGAAGATTATCTGTGTTGCAGGAGAGGTGTGTGGTCCTAGCAGACTTCATGACAGTTAGCACTTTCCTTTTGAGGAAATTCTGCAGCTTGATTTTTTTTTCTGCATAACAAGATATTTACCAATCATTCCTTTCCTTCTCATACCTGCTGCCCTTCCACCTTGCCAGAACCTTTAGCTCCTAGTCCTTTCTGTAGCTCAAGACGCTATATAAGTTTCAACTCTGTCTTCAAGTCTCATCTTTTGTGGGGCTTCCAAGCATAGGCAGAGAATAAATCCATATGATTCGCCCCCATTAATCTGTCTACTGTCAGCTCACATATTTTTAGACAAATTATTGAACTCCTGGAAGATAGAAAGAAAATTTCTCGGGCTGGGAAGGTGGCTCAGTGGTAGAGCGCTTGCCTTGCATGTATGAGGCCCTGGGTTCGAATCCTCAGCACCACATAAGCAGGAAAAAAAAAGCCAGAAGTGGCGCTGTGGCTCAAGTAGTAGAGTGCTAGCCTTGAGCTGAAGAGCTGAGGGACAGCGCCCAGGCCCAGAGTTCAGACTCCATGACTGGACCCCCCCCCCAAAGAAAAGAAAATTTCTCCTCTATCCAATAATTTGGTTTCAGGGCTGATACCTGAAACCCTAGGTACTTGGGAAGCTGAGATTGGGAGGATCTTGGTTCCAGGTAAGCCCACTTTATGTCCACTGAGAAAAGCTGGATGTGGTAATGTGCATCTGTGATTTCAGCGACTGTGGCTAGCTGAGCAGAAAGTATACTTGATCCTAAAAATAACCACCACAAAACAGGGCTGGGGGCATGGCTCAGCACTAGAGCACCAGCCTAACAAGCATGAAGTCCTGATTTCAACCTCAACTATCACCAAAACAAAAGTAAAACAACCCCCTTCCCCAAACACCAAGCTGTTATAAACATGGGTGTTGAGTCTGCTGGGTTTGGGATTCAGAATCTATAAGCAATAAGATCAGCAGACATACAGAAATCTGGTGGCTTTCAGGCAAGACTGGGGAGTCCTAGAGAGGTAGGGTTTGCTAGAAGGACAATTCAATGTGTTAGAATTAGGTCTTGACCAATGTGTCAAGCTACATTGGTCTTAACATCACAAAGTTCTGATTGGGGCTTTGTTTGAACATGCCCAGTTGTGGGGCAGGTCACACATGTACATAAACGTGGGTACAGTTGTCACAATAGTAATAAGAGAAATATTATTAACCCCCATTTTGCAACCAGAAGGCCAAATCATGCAGTTAGAATAACTTGCTGCCAGTTGTCAGTGGCTCTGCCTGTAATCCTAGCTACTCAGGATGCTGAGATCTGATAGTCCAGTTTTGAAGCCAGCCCCGGTGGACAAATCCAATAGACTCTTATTTCTAATTAACCCACAAAAAGTGGGAAATGGAGATGTGTCTCAAGTGGTAGTGCATCAGCCTGGGCCTTGAGTTCAAGCCCCTCTCCTAGCACAAAAACAAACTCAAAAATCGCCTTGCCTTTGGCTTGCAAAATCCAGTAAGTTGAAATTGAAGATGCCTTCAAAAGAAAACAAAAGAACAGAAGAAGCAACCAAGCACTAGGAATCAGGAGTATGAGGCTGTTACCTTCTGTGCATTCCACAAACACTGCCCTATTTGACTTCTTTTAGCTGTTAACCTCACAGGATGCACAGCTTGGATATGGTTGAAATGTCATGTTTCCCCTTTGATCTTAAAGAATCATGAATCTCTGAAGGCATCACCCACCCCCTCCCACCTGCTGGGTTGGTTGGCAGTGGAGGGGGGAAAAACCTTGTATATTGGTAAAGGAAGAGCTGGACAGAGGACTGTGAATGAAACCTAAAAGCCAAGCTGTCCAAGATGTCCTGCAGGCTGCAACACATGGTTTAATCTGAGTGCCAGCTTTATATTCAAGTCATTTTAATTATTTCAACATGCAAAAAAGTGAAAATCTGGGGCTGGAGGTGTGGCTTAAGTGACAGAGTGCTTGAGTTCAATCCCCAGTACCACCCAAACAAGCATTTCATCTGGATGAAAATGAGTCAAAGACAATGGTGTTTGAGTAGAGACTGTCTACTTGCCTTCAAAGCTGTTCTGCGGTTCCTGCTGGTTTCCTTCTGCCAAAGGAAGCTTGTGTTGGTTTGATTTTTGGTAAAGTCATCCTCTGTTTTTGATGTTTTTCCGGGTTGGCTGAATAGTCCAAGATGAGAGTCTCTTTGGGAAGTATTTCCTTGGGAATACTTTATAGTTTTCTGAGGGCTGATCACAGTGACTTGGGAAATTGACACCTGGGACATGTATCTGGGAAGGCCAAGGATCTCACTCAAGCCATCAGATCACAGAGACTCGGGTCTTGGTACTCCTTGCTGGGTAGCCATTTCTGGGCATTTGCTTTCTGCTGTGGATATTCCCTATGCCTCTTTCCCCATTGATGGACAGTTCTGTTGTGATCCACCCATACTAAAGCTGGAGCTGTTTGCTGGTTTCCTGCAGCTGCTCTGGTATTCTGTGAACAGCTCATTGGTTTCCTGCGAGGGATTCTCTTGTGGGCCAACTGTTTCTAGTACAGTACTCAGGCTTCAAACCGCCTCAGATCTACCTGCCATCAGACCCGTGGTGAGCCACCAAAGAAGGACTCCAGCTGAGCAAAGGATGTCAAGGACAGGAGTGGAGGCATGGGAAGGGCATACCCACTTTTTAGAGGGGGAGTTTGTGCCTATGTGTGAAGTGTGGGGCTTCATTAACTTGGTCATGGGCAATGTCCATTTTCATCAGAGCCAGATTTACTGGTATGAAGTGTGTATACCTAAATCTACCCAAGGGAGTCATGACCAATCAATGATTGTTACAGTTTGTGTTTCTGGAAGAATTAGGTTGCCTGCTGGTGTCAGAAAGGAATCAGTTCCCATTCTGCCAGTCTGGGTGCATAAATTCTAGATCAAACAATAGGAAGTGGAAGCTAAGGAGACTGGGAGGGGTTTCCTGTAATCAGAAGAAGAAATAAAACGTGGGAGGGGATGGGAGGTGAAAAGGGAGGGATGTTATGTATTTCCTGATGAGCAGGCATTGGTAGGAGGCCCCTGGACATTGCTGTCTGTTTACTGATTGAGAAGGAAAGCATATGGGGTGTTAGTGTTGAATTCAGGGGGATCTGGAGGGTATAGATATCTGTAATTTCTGGTAAAATAAGGACGAGGAAGGCCAATGATACCCGGGCTGATTTTCTTGGGGGCCTTTTTTTTTTGGCACTCACTTGTCTGGGAAACAATGCAAAGGAGGGCAGGTGTTGATAACAAGGAATTTCATCCTAAAAGCACCAGAAAAACATGATGGTAGTGATGATAAGGCTCTTATTTGGGCGTCCTAGCAATATTTCACAAGTGGATATGGAACTGGGTAACTTGTTGGTACCTAATTCCTATTTGGATCCTGAGAGTGCATCTAGACTTCTTGTAATCTATGAAAAAAGCATACTGTAAGCAGGTCACAGATTCAAAGATACTGCCTTCTGTTTCACCTAAATAAGTATCCTAACAACCTCAATCAGTGGTAACAAACCTATTTGAGAGTCGATTTTTGCTTTTCAGCTAGAAATGGATGGTGACCTTTGTGACCCTGGACCCTTTTGACTATAGTTGATTCCCAATATCGCTCCTGAAAATAAGAACCCATAGTCCTTATTTTCTTTTGAGAGACAAGTTCGGGGATGTTATTTCCATTGAACAACTGTGCATGTAGTTTTCTTCAGGTTCCGTCAACCTTGGGGACAAGTCAGGTCTCTAACCCAGGGAAGAGACCCATGAAACTCTAGGTCCAGTAGCTTGGTGGGGCCGGTTTTTCTGTGGGAAAACTCTCTAGGGGCTCAGAGTCATCCACTGCATCCAGAAAGTCAGCTTTCAACAAGGATAGGCTGGAGAAGAAGCAGGTAACCCTCAGGGACAGACAGAGGGCCCTTCTCAAGCCACCAGAGACCTTCCCAGGTGGAGCACAAAGCTCCGAGCCCGCCAGTAGGCGGCGCACACGTTCTGCGGGGGTGGAGGGAGAAAGGGTGTGTCTGCCGCCGGCGTCGTGACGTCCTATGCGGTGAAGGGCGGGGCCCAGTGCACGCCAGGAGGGAGGTGGTTCTGGGGCCATTTCCGGGAGGACGGGGCGGGGCCTCGGGTCCCGCCTTCAATCTCAGCGGCGGTGGGCGGAGCCTGCGCTAGGCAGTCGGGGTCTGTGGCGCTTGGGGAAGCAACGCGGGAGGTGAGTTTTCTGGGAGGGAGGAGCTGGCCGGCGGCGGCTGCCCCGAGGAGGTGGAGGTGCGACCGCGGGCTCTGGCGGGGAGGGCCGGGCCGGGCCGGCTGGGTGAGGCGGCTGGGTGGTCGAGGCCTGGTGGGCTGGGGCTCCGGGTGTGGGCGGTGGGAGGCCGCGGTGCAGCGAGCTCCCCGGGAGCCCCGCGCTCGTGGCGGGGTGAAGTGGGGTGCGCTAGGCACGCAGGTGCTCGGCTGGACTCTGGGGACCCTTTCCCTTCGCCCTCAGTGTGAGATGCCCGGCCTGGGGGGGACCCAGGTTCGGGCTTTGTGGGAGTCTGGGTCCGGGTTAGTATCGTCTGTCTGTCAGTAGCAGCAGGACTCTGGTTTTCTCATTTTGGGTGGGTAGAGTGTGGATCTTCCAGGAGGGAGAGAGAACCTGGACTTGGCTGTTTTGGAAATCGAGGCGGGCTGGGGAGACTCCATAAAGCTCTACCAAGTAAACAGACCTGTTCCCCTTTTACAGACACTGCTGAAGGAGGGGCTCAGGGCTGGGATTTCGGGAGAGGAAGATGCCAGCCACAGACCTTGTGATGTTGGTGAGTCCCAGCCTCTTAAGAAGGCCCTTGTTCCTTAACTTGTATTTTTTAGCCCAAAGGCTCTGATGGTGAGTTTTACCTTATGAGGTTTGCTTTTGGTGGCTGAGCATTTCTGCCACCTTTTACTTGGGGATAAAGACCAGGATGAATAAATGGCTGGATTAAGTATAGAAATCCATTATGGGTAGAACTTAAAAATTCTGGAATCAAAGCCTGTCATCAATGTCTCAAGCTTGTAATCCTAGCTACTCAAGAGGCTGAAATCTGAGGATCACAGTTCAAAGCCAGCTCAGCCGGGAAAGTCTAGAAGACTCTTATCTTTAATCAGCCCCCAAGAAGCTGGAAGTAGAGCTGTGGCTCAAGTAGTAGAATGATAGCCTTGAGCAAAAAAGCTCAGGGACAGAGTGCAGGTGTTGAGTTCAAGCCCCAGGATCTCTCTACCCCTACCCCCCCATACAAATAATTCTTAAACCTTTTTTTTTTCAAGATTATTTCAGGTGACTCTCCTTTCTTATACTATTAGAACAGTTTTAAACTAGTATTACTTTTTATCAGAGTCTGCCATGTATTACTAGTTTTTAGACTACAGTCAGGATTCTTTGGAAGACAGCTAGTGTATCTTTTTGTAGTGCTCTGAATATAGGACCTTTTTAATAAAGGCTTCAGATAGTCTGAGTTTAAGTTCTGTTGTTCCCTACTTTGGTGGAGGTCAGTTTTTCTCTCCTATTCTTCATCTTTGACAGTTCTGAGGTTTGAACTCAGGACTTCATGAGCCATGCCTTTTTAAAAATTTAATCAAGATAGGGTCTTTCTGCTCTGGCATGTGCTAGAACTTTGACAATCTTATTTTTTTTCTCCCCACCCCATAGTTGGGATAATAGCTGTGTACTACTATGCCCACTTTCTCTTTGCTGAGAAGCTTTACTGCCATGGCTGCCCTAGATACACTGTCTTCCTCCACCTCTAAGTACCTTAGTATGACAGGGGGTAAGCCTCTTGTGACTGGCCTACCTTTTTTTAGTTGGGTGCGGTAGGTTCTCATGAACTTTTTGCCCAGACAGGTCTCAAGTTGACATCTTCCCTATTCACCTCCTGGGCAGTTAGGATTACAAGCCTGAGCCACTGCCCAGTTGGCTCTTGACATCTTCATGGTGTATTTTTTCCCCTAGCTAACTATCCAAATGCATGCCTATCAGAATGGTTTTTTATTCTTGGCACACATATTATTCCGCATAAGCTTTTGGTGTGAAAATTTAGGGGAACCTATAGGTTTCAAATAGCAACATAAAAAAAAATCTGGGTTTAGTTTTTATTTAGTAAGTCACTCCTCTGAGGTGGATTTGCCCTTATGCAGTGTCAGTGATTTAGGAACAATATCTCACTACACAGTGTTGTCTGTTGTCCCTCAGAAATTAGCCAAAACTAGTGGTGAGATTTTCTTGTACCCCATGCTGCCTTCTTATAGTGGCAAACCTGTGAGGTCTGCAGGAGGATGAAGAAGAAGGAAGTTAGCTAAGGAAGTGGCTCTGGCTGAAGTGGTAGAGTGCTCACCTTGAGCTGGAAAGCTCAGGCACAGCACCCAGGCCCACAACTGACCAAAAAAAAAGAAGAAAGCAGCTAAGTTGTGAGCCTTTCTGATTTAAGGAGGGGAGCAAGAGTAATCTTAGGCCATGTGTAAGAGATAGGGATACTTGGTTTATCCTTGAGTCTAAGGAAGAGTTCACCTAAAATAAATTCTTGCCCCAAATCTCATGAATTTTCAATAGATAATAAAAATTTTTATTTATAACAGCACTGTTAGAAACATTGGAAACTATAAATAAGCAAAGGAATCAAGTCCTCCCATCCCTCCATTGCTCACCCCTCAGCAGTCCCTTAGTAATCTCAGCAGAAGTTGTTAACATCTTGGAGGGTTAACGTAGGATGGCTTGTAACAATTGGCAGTTTCTGGTTTTCTTCTTATAGATTGGTGTTTATGTAAATTACAGTTTCCATTTCTATTTATAGGTAGGATATTTCTCCACGTACAGAATTGTGCTTATTTCTTTGGGGGCCCATGAACTTACTTTAAGTATGTGCTATGATTATATTTATTCAGAATACTTATTTGGAATAAGTTTATTTTAAAATACGTCTCTAGCTGTTGCTATACTTTGTCAACTTTCTCACTAGGATGTTTAGGGGTGGTGTTTGTTGCTCTAAGGAATTAATTCACCTAGATATGAGTGGCCTTCAACAGTCATTTCCTGAGACAACATACAGGTTGCATGTAGTACTTTTACTGGAAGAGTTGTCATCTTTTCTTGGCTAATGGGCTGTATGGGCCTAAATTATGTAGAGACAGTGACCATGGCTGGGTATCAGTTGTACATGAAACTACCATAATCTGAGCTCCAGGTTATCTACTCTTTATGACATGTAAGGCAGATTGGCTCTCCAACTGGGATGAAAGGTCATAAGTGAATGAAAAACTGTCTCTGATAGATATTCAGTCACCCATCTTTTCTATTAGAATAAGATGAGCAAAAGTTAGGAAACTGTGGATTCAAGAATAATAATACAACTTCTATAGGTAAAATTTATCAAGTATATGCACTGTAGGTGCATCAGTAGCTTCTCTACATTCTCACTTATCTTTTTTTTTTTTTTTTTCCTGGTTGTGGGCCTGAACTCTGGGCCTGGGTGCTAGCTGTCCCTTAGCTCTTCAGTTCAAGGCTAGCACCCTACCACTTGAGCCACAGCACCACTTCTGGCTTTTTACTGCTTATGTGCTGCTGAGGAATCAAACCCAGGGCCTTGTACATGCAAGGCAAGCCCTCTACCACTGAGCCACCTTTCCAGCCCTCGCATTTAACTTTTATAAAAGCTCTGGGGCTGGGAAGGTGGGTTAGTGGTAGAGGGCTTGCTTAGCATGCATGAAGTCCTGGTTTCGATTCCTCAGTACTACATAAACAGAAAAAGCCAGAAGTGGTTTTGTGGCTCAAATGGTAGAGTTCTAGCCTTGAGCAAAAGAAGCTCAGGGACAGTGCCCAGACCCTGAGTTCAAGCCCAAGGACTGGCAAAAAATAAAAAAATAAAAAAAATAAATCCCAAAACAAACAACAAACTCGAAAAGTATGCTGGCATCCTTTACTAATAGATAAAAACTAGGTTTATAGTGACTTTCGTGACTACCGTTGCAGTTAAGTGGAGCAGTTATCTTGAAGTGGTCTGACTTCAGATCCCTTCCCCCATCTACTTGAAGTGGTCTGACTTCAGATCCCTTCCCCCATCTACTTTGTGACACAGCCTTTGGACTCCATTCCTAGTAGGGGGTCAGAAGTTGCTGACTATTGTGACTAATAAGGAGAGGGTTTGGATAGACAGAAGGGGTGGAATTGTTCTGCCCTAGATCAATTTGGAAATGTGAGCTTTGGGTTTGGAGAAGATACTTCATTATAGTAGTCTTGTCTGAAATTGTGTGTTTTGTTATAAAATCTTGTCTATTTTCTTTTACATGAAACTAGGACTTTATATTGAAATTTAATCATTTGTGTCTATAGATACAGTGTTACAATCTTTGAAGGACATTAGAAAACATTTGTGGTTTTTGTGTTTTTTTTTGGTTTGTTTTTAAAGCACTGTGTCTGATAGGGATGAAAACCACTTGTGTGGATACTACCATAAATGAGTGTGAAGATAACCTGGAGCCCACACATAACAGCTTCCATGGAGTCCAAGGATTTCCCATTTGAAGATGGTAGATAAATGAGTTGGCTAGTGTTCATAGGTGAATCACAGTTAGTATTGGGCCTTTGAGGATAATTGTTTGTTTAGGGCAGTTGTTCCTGACCAAGGGCAATGTTGTTCTCCAAGGACTTGTAAAAAAATCTCTGGAGACATTTTTGGTTGACACACCTGAGAAATGCTACGAGTATCTATTTGTAGAGGCCAGGGATGCAATTAAAGATCCAGTAATGTACACAGTCCTCCATAGCCAACAGTGATCTGGCTTAGAATATCAGTCCTGCTGAGATTGAGAAACCCTAGTCTAAGGTCTGTAACAAAGATAAAGAGTATCAGAGAGGGCTCTTCATTCCAGTGTCTGTGGGAGTGAGTCAGTGTTTAATGGGTCTCTTCTAGTGTTACTTAGGGTTATTTTGCCCACAGATCAAGTCTTGCTACTCTGCAAATGTATCTTGGAGAATATACACCACAATCTATGTAGCAGTGCAAAATTCTTTGTCTAAAAAATATAATTTTATTATTATGAAGGGGTTGTACAGAGGAATTACCATTTCATAAACCAGGTAATAAGTACATTTCTTTTTTGGACAACATCATTCCTTCCTTTGCTTTCCCCCCAATTTTTCCCTCCCATCCCTGCCCACAATTACAGAGGTCATTTTCAACATAAAGTATTCTGAATAGCACGCTTGCATTTGTTTACCTTTCCTTCCTTTCTGTGCTCCCCTTTGGCCCTCCAAAGGAAAACAAAACAAAACACAAATTCCACCACCACCAATAACAACAACAACAACAACAACAAAAACCTATGCTTCCATTTCCTGGAGTTCATTTTTAATAGTCTTTTAAATGTTCAGAGAGGTTATGCCTTTGGGTTCCATTAGTAGCAGTGCAAAGTTCTTTTTTGTTGGCCATAGGGCTTGAATTCTGGGCCTAAGCACTGTTCCTGAGCTCTTTTGCTCAAGGCTAGGCCTCTCCCACTTTGAGCCACTTAGGGTTTTTGAGTGGTTAGTGAAAGATAAGAATTGCATGAATTTTTCTTGCCTGGGTTGGCTTTGAACCTTGATTCTCAGATCTCAGCCTTCTGAGTAGCTAGGATTACAGGTGTTAGTCATCAGCGCCTGGCTTAAAATGGTATGTCACCTTTATAATAACAAAAGCAGAAGAGTTACAGTTACATAAGATAGCTAATGAATATATTTCTTTTTCCATAATGTCCCCCCTTTCCTTTGCTCTCTTATTTTTCCCACCTGTCTCTACTCACAAGTTGTATA